AACAGTCTGGAAGAAAAGAATCAGTCCAGAGTGGGACATAATCGCAATATAATAGCCCAATATAATCTGGTAATTGTTAGCTTATTACATATTTACATCAGGTTTGTAGATGTTGGTTTATGTACAGTACATTATAATCTATTTTTTAATTATTACATAGAATGAATAAAAACTGAAACTACTCATACATTTTGATTAGGAATCAGTTATTTGATTTAGGATTGTAAATGCTTACTTTAAATCTGATTATGTAAATATACATATTATAACTATCCATATGAAATATTTTGTAAGAATTCTGTTACTTATAGATTTTAAAAATAGATTTGTGTTTATTCATATTCTTGTTAATATCAGGTAATTCTAGAATTTATCTTCAACCTAATAGTATCTTGCTATTACAGCAAGATACTATTTTTTTATTTTACTATAGTTAACAGTAAACCAATATCATAGGAAGGAATATTTTAAATCAAATTATGATATTCCTTCCTATCTAATGAAAAAAATATTCGTAAACCATTTTTAAAATAAAAAAGTTATTTTAATTTATAAGTTTAAAACTATATATTTTATTTCATAATTTTTAAGTAAAAAATTTTAAAATGAATTTAGTACTAAAACACCTTGCAGAACCAAAGAACTCCAGTAATTAATCACAGACAGAAGGATTAATGTTTTTGAACCTTTCCATGAATCTTCTTCAGGTCAAAGGTTTTGAATTGAAATGCTTTTCAAATTCAAATCTTTGACCTGAAGATCTGTAGAAAGGATCAAAAATATTAGTCCTGTCTGTGATTATTTACTGAAGATTTTTGATCTGAAAAGTGGTTTAGTACTGTATATTTATACTTTAGTCTGAAGAACTGTTGTGAATAGAAATACATATAATTTATTTTTACTGGTTATAACAATAAAATCAAAAATAGTCTCTATTTTTTATTTATATCTAAATAAAAATTAATATATTTTATTTTATTTTATTTATAATATTTACAAGTATTATAAAGAAGTAAATGTAAAATTATTTTTCTAATTTTTATATTATTTTTTTCTATAATAAAAATTAGCACAAAATATCTAAAATACATTTAAAAGTTTGATCAAATATTTTTAATATATGTATATACAACTAACCTGATTTTTTATATTCCAAAGAATAACACAAAATAGGAGAATTTCCATCGCTTTTTGGTGGATTCCAAACAGCATATAATTCTGTATCTGAACACTGTTGAACGGTTGGTGGCTCAGGATGACCTGGGACATCTAAGAAAAGTGATTCTTTTATTAATGTATAATTCTAACTTAAATTCTTCAGAAATTTCTGTGGAATGATTGTGAGATCAAGGATACATATTTTAATCTTCTTGCTATCTTTGAAATGCAGTTTTTGCCTAATATTAAAATTTAAAATAATTTTATTTGCCAAAAATATAAAATGTTTATAAATGAACTCATAAAGGAGTTGATATGATTTATTAAATACTAGTAGCCCAGGACACCCCCTAGTGGGTGTTCTTTACAAATTTCCATGAGGCATGGTTCCTTTGACTTTTTTGTTCCTATCAATACAGCTCCGTTAAAGTCCCAACGGTAAGATTTACCCTCTGAATGAAGGGATGGCGACCCCTCAAACTGTAGCCCCCCTGTGTGAACAATAAAGTCAAAGGAACCATACCCGTACGCACAACTCTTCGTGAAATATAAGACCTGAAAATTCACCTATGTCATTTCTGGTCATGTGACACAGTGGTCAAAAGGGAGCCTACTGCACGAACAAAAAATTAATGCACGCTCACCCACACTCGGGGGGTGTGCCCGAGTGCGCATTCGCAGGATAAGTTGTGGCAAACAGACAGTCATGTGACCCATAGAATAATTTTCGGAGGGCTATATCTCGGGAAGAGTCATGCGTAGGGGTATGGTTCATTAGACATTTATTGTTCGCACAGAGGGGGGTCACCACCCCTTCATTTGGAGGGTAAATCTTACCATCCCAATCGCGTCATATGGATCTATATTTCTACCTACTAAACATTCTATAAATACTTTAAAATAGTTTAATTTGTTTATTTATATTCGCTTGTAAACCTTGATTTTAAATGTATCTGCCATTTTTTCAACAAATTTCCCGTGAGTCAATGCGTGACGTTCACTGAGTCACAGGATGTTGTAAACGTGCAGCGCAAGGTTAATCAAGGCATATAATAAGGCAAGGCAAGGCATATAATAATTATTTATACCATTCCGTGGTATAAATAGTAAATTCCTATTACAAATAAAAATAATTTATTGTTAATTTAAAATCTTCGCTAGGGCACCTCTAGTGCCCGTTTTTGGCATACCGTTACGCGGACAGATACCCATTCAATGGGTTATATATATAGATACAGAGTATAAACAGATGTATTGATTGAATTGCTTTGGTTATGAAAAACACCCATTAATTATAATACAGAATTTTTTATATCAGAATTAATAATTGCTAGTATAGTGGAATCAGTTTATTGTAATTTGTCAGAACTTGTCTATACTGATAACAATAACTGATAAGTTTAAGAGGCTAAATAAGACTACAATTAGTGAAAATTCTTATTGACTTTGACACGTTAAGACACTTCTATGCGTTTGGAGCTAGAACTATTTTAAGATGACCAAGACAAAACCTTTCTCACTTGTTTCTAGCTGTTTATACACAAGTACAAACGTTTTCGGCCTTCTTCAGGTAACTGTGGTCTGTTAGAGTGTTGGTTGGTAGAAATTCAAACAGAAATTCAAACCGTATGAATTTCTAACAACTGACGCTCTAACAGACCACAGTGTACCTAAAGAAGGCCGAAAACATTCGTACTTGTGTATAAACGGCTAGAAACAAGTGAGAAAGGTTTTGTCTTGGATACGTTAAGACAATTAAAAAATGAAAAACTTCAAGATTCATTAATTAATAATAATTCATTCAGTGTTGTTTAACTGCAGTGTTTTTGCAGTACTGTCTTTAACAGTTAGCATATAATCGAAATAAGAAATACAGCAGTTCAAACTATTGTATTGTGAGCAAATAACAAAGATAGGAATTGTCTTTTCATCTAATCTCAAAATGTGGTTGATAGCCACATTTTGAGATTAAATGAAAATGCCTATTTAACTAAAAATAACAATTTGAATTAAAAGGTCATCTCTATGAAGTAAAAACTGTTCCTGATGATTAGACACAATGGAAGTTTGAAAATGTTTTAGTTTCTTTTATATTTTTTTATATTGTGCAAATAAAAAGTTAACCAAAACTCTGATTACAATAAACAAAGTTTTATAAATGTATTTAAACTTATCAGAATTAGCATATCCCAAACATATAACATAAAATGACTGCTTATCATATTTGCAGATATTGTTAACAAAGTCTACTGTGTTTATAAACTTGATAATGTTGAATTCAATAAAAATATTTAACTCTTTAGCATATTGTTTACATACATTTTCTATTTCAAAGTTTAAACTTTATTCTCACCTCCAATTTTTAATCGTGCACGACATGTTATAACACCGTAAGTATTCCTTGCCACACATTTATATAAGCCAACATCATATCCTTTAGCTGGTTTTAATCGTAATTCACAATGACCATCTTTGTAATGCTTCATCTAACAATATACAAATATTTTTATTATACCATTTTAAGAAAGTAAATTTATAATCTAATAACATTTAAAACTACATACTTCAATTCTGCTGCTTTCAATGAGAATACCATCATTTCTAAACCAAGAATAAAGAGGTGGAGGCTTTGAAACAGCAAAACATTTAAATACAGCATCTTCATCTTCTCTGATAACTACATCTCTGATTTTCTCTCGAAAATATGGAGGAGAAGCTATAAATAAAAGTTTAAATGTAGTTTACTTTAAAGTATAAGCAAAATAAAATTAAGATATTGTTTTTTAAAAGCATTTTACATTTAAAAATTGTATATAAAGTTTAGAATGTACTATTTTACTGATTAATTATATATTCTAACCTTTAACATTTTTTGAGAAATCATTAGATTTTTTCACTTATATATGTTTAATGAACAAATCATAATATAATCTTACAATGACAGTATTAATATATTAGTTGTGTTTTTTTTTTAAAGCCAACTAATTACTGGATTACACTAGACAACCCAACTATAATAATGCTACTAATTTGGATGATGGTCTGGGTAGCATAACTGGATACATATCCATGCAGCAAGCAGACATTGCAAGTTTGAGTCCTGCTTCAGGCCAATTCTTTTATTCCAGAATCTTCTAATTGTTAAATATTAATTTAATTATAATTATTAAATTTATCAAGAGATAGCAACTAATGCCAACCTCTAGGCTAAATTACTTGACATTTAATTAGTAATTAATAGCATTATTATAGCTCAGTGTACTCTAGCAATTGTTTGGCATTAATCTAAAAATTGGGTCAATGAATGTCTATAGTTGTTTTTGTATATATAATCTTAAGATTTTTTTATTCATAATATGGCAATTTTTATCAATTAAAGTATTATTTAAAAAAATGAGAAAAAGTAAATTCAATAACATTTATTTTAATTAATACAGTAGAACCTTGCTTAATTAGCATCTCATAACGAGCAAAACAAATTGTAAAAAAATGACTCACTTAACGAGTGACGAGAAGAGGAGAAATCCTGGATTGTGCACATACTACATCAGTCTGTGTTTAGCACTCATTCCGCTAGCATCTTAGTGTCACTTGTTATCACACATTTTTCCAAACTTGTGTTCAGACATATTATATATAAGCATTGACAACCATAGCCCGTTGTATAATAAACACCCCAAACAATATGCCAAATTCGTGGAAAGTATTGTTTATTATATAACATAAAGGCTATAATTAAGTATTAGAAATTATTATATTTAGATTTTTTTTTTTGTTCTACAAATCGAATTCGCATTTCAGGTTGGTTCATTCTGTGCTAGAAGAATGATGATGATGATGATGATGATTCATGCTCCACACTCCTTAACAATGTATATTGTATAATTTTCTGTAAATAAACATTATACATAAAATATCTGAGTATTTTTTTCTGGCATGGAATGCATTATCGTATTTTAAATTAATTTATATGAAAAAAATTGTTTTGCTTAACAAATGTTTTGTGTTGCAAGTAAGTTGGAACAAATTATGCTTGTTAAGCGAGATTCCACTGTATGATGTCATTTATACATAATGCATCTAAGTATTGCCATTATTCATTCCCATTTAATCCCATGAAATATTGAAATATACTATGTTTTCTTTATCCATCAAATCTAATGAACATCCCATTTTCAAAATGTCAAGATCTGGAAAAAGTTAGAGTGCACATTATATTCACAAGTTATGTCAGCACAGGAAGTTAATATGTTAAAAAATACAGTTTAATATTTGTAATATTAACACAGTAACAAAACATTAAAATGTTTTACTTTACTTAAAAAAGTATAATTTATAGCAACAACCAAGAAAAACACATGACACAAATAAGCATTTCTGATAACAAAATGATTAATAGATATGCTTTTCAATAATAATTAAATAGTTTACAAATTACAAGATATATTGTCAAATTTTGATCAATAAAAACTTTTATTATTAAAATTAAAATGTTTGAAGTTTTGAAAGATCAAAGTTAGAAAAATGAATATTTTTTGTTTTATTTATTTTAAGTTCAGAGTTAAATGAAAAATGATAAAAAAAAACAAAAATTATATATAGAGACTAAAATATTATTTTAAAAGACAATCATTCAATTTAAGCAATGTATAATATATTTGAAACATGCCTTCTGCATTCTGAATACTTCTTTTTCTTCCAATTTCAGTTCCAAGTGATCCAAATTCTTTTTGAAGTCGAAGTGGCGTGGAATGTACCAATCCTCTTTTCTCATCAGAAATTTCTTTGTCCATTACATCAACAAAACGACGCCTTTCCTTAACAGTAATCTAAAACATATACATTATATAATTAATATCTTTAAAAATTACTTTAAAATTTAAATGAATTTTAGAAAGAATCTAATCAGTAAAGCTGCTAATATACTATAATGCTGTATGGACCTCTCATAGGATATCTATGTTTGAAAGTTATGCAATAATGTAGGTTATCTTCTAATTTTAATTTGCAATTACAAACTCATGAACTAGCTTTTTCATTGTCAAAAATTACCAAAAATGTCTCTAAACATATGAAAAATCCTTTATGCTTTGCATACATTCATTTGCTATTGTGATTTTTTTTTCAAAACGTTCAATTACACCTACATGCAAGCCTCACTTTTAGTTCTCTGTTTATTTTCTGTGTAATAATCCATACTTTAATTATTATTATTTTCCAACTTAAACTTCTGCCTTGAAAGCTGAAAATAATAATAGTTAAAGTGTGGATTATTACACAGAAAATAAACATATAATAATTTCAGAGAACTATTTAGGAACTAACTGTCAATTTTATTGTATGTTACTTCATTACTTTTTCTATTGCTATAAAGTGAATTCTGATTATTAAAATAATTATATAATATGATTGAACTAATTTTTGGAATGTAAGTATTTGGAAAGAGAAACAAGTTTAAATTGATAGTAATTTAATTTCAAAATTATAATTAAAAAACAAATAGTATCATACCTCACTATCACCCCAATGTTTTTGTCTCAAATGCTCTGCAAGAGTAGGACTTCTTCTTGCTCCAAGTCTCAAATACTGTCTTACTCTTATTGGAAATTCTCTATCATGGAGTGGAAGAAGGAATGTATCTGGTCCACTTTGGTATCTAAAAAATTGAATTATTTACATTGAAAACAACAGTTATAAATTTAAATCTGATGAATTATATTATAGTCTGTCTGCACAAGGATGACATCTGATAACAAAACTCACATGATCAGTCCATTATTATTTTAAGGAAAAACATCTTGTCAAATCTCTTAACCTAAAATACTTTTTTCTAAAATTATAAACAGTAAATTTTTCATTTTTTTATGTGCACTGATCCCAATGTTTGTGAATAATTGGAGCCAAGTAATAACTTCATGAACATTGAATTCTCAAACTTTTTGAGTTCTATTTTCAATGTTAAATTTGTAATTTGTTCTAAGACTTTATGTATTACTGCTATTTCAAAACTTTTTCATAAAAATGAATGGTTTTATTAAATAAATATACTTTGCAATGGTTTACAATGCTGAAAAAGTCATTTTATTTAAGCCAAAAGAAAAAAATTAAACAAAACATAACATAATTTATAACAGACACCATACAAATGAGTGAGAGCAGTGACCTTTTAGCATTGTGCCTGCTCAAACAACCAGTTGCACAAGTGCCAACTCGAGTTTACAGTAATACATAATCTCTCATTTTCCAAAAGATTGAAACCTTTCACAAAAGTTGAAATTTTGGTGCATAAATTTCCAAATACAAATGATAAAATTCCTGAACATTGACATTCATAAATATCAAGGGTGTGTGTGTATAAAGAAACATAAATTAGTTTTTATGTAATTAACAATATTTTCTGCACTGTAACACATTGATATCAAACTCTTGTTTATATACAAAATAAAAACAGTTTCTCTCATTTAGATAGAAAATTTGTTCATTTGACAATGTAAATTCAAACTAAAAAATTATGATTTATGTGCAAAAACTATTATTAATTTAAACTTGATCAACTAAACTCTAGTACTATAACCTATTCTAATGACCTTAAAATCAAACAGTAATCTGAGCATCTTACAAAATGTTCTCAACCCTCTTTCCATCAACCTAAATTTCTGAATCTTTCTATCAGTCTTAACAAACTTCTCAATGTATTTTGTTCTTGTTAAAAACCACTCAATTTTACCTAGTTTACAATGATAACCTTATGTCAATTGCATTAATAATTTAGGATCTACTTTAACAATAAACTCACTTTTAAACAACATAGTGACTATATTACTAAGGAACCGGCTGTAAGCAGGTGAATCATGTGGATAAACTGTCACTCTATTTTCCCCTAGTTTTCTCAATTTTCAATCTATTATTGATTACTGTCTTCCCATTTGAGCCTCTGTCTCAAAAACACAAAAAAGCAAAATCATTAGCAAATCATCTAAACATATCTAGTATTAAATAAATTTGCTAACTTATTACATGTTGAATCCTTTGACATTGTGCATCTTTGTCTTCAAAATAATGAAGTTCTAGACAGTTTCCTATTTTGATAAAATCCTTACTTTCAAATATTTTTGTGGTTTTATCCCACCCTTTTATTTTAATCTACATATACAAAATCTTAACTCATGTTTTCATTGTCCTTTCTTCAGGCTTTTAATCTCCCAAAATTCCTATTTTTACTGATTTGGCAGCTCTGTCAAAAATGTGAAGGATCTTTTGTATCATGATTTTTATGTAAGCATATATGTAAAAATGCTTTAGTTTTAATGGCATTTGCATTTTGTTTTCTTATATTTTTATTGCTTTTATTTAAGGTATTTTTCTACTGTTACTTGGAGGAGGCTTATCTTGCCTAAATAGCATTGGATGTAAAACTTTATTATTATTATTTTTTTATTACAAAGTTTTAATGAAATAATTATACAATATTAAATTGTATACTATTTTGCATCTTGAACATGCTTAGTTGTGAAAATGACATCATTTTCACAACTAAGGCAGACACATTCCTCAGGCAGACAAACTGTAATATTTATATAGTATATTTTATAATAAATCTGATTCCTTACAATGTTTTTAGGATTCAAAAATTTATAAAAATTAAATTCTTTAATTTTCCTAAAATTATTTAATTAAGTTTTTCATTTGAAAAACCTAAAAACTAAAATTTTAAATCCAGAAGTTATAAATGCATTTCAATATAAAAGTTCTGAACAGAAAATTCAAAAGACAATTGTTACAAATGTGAAAAATACAGTTGAAATAGGTCAAAGTATAGACCATTAAGAAATTAACTATTAATAAGCATTTGTGACTGACAAACTAGTTTAATTGATGGAGGAGGTAGCTAAAATGTCAGCCTGCCATTCTGAGAGACTTGTGAGGATCTGACCTAAATACAGGCCTACAATGGCAATTTTAATTGATTATTAACTTTTTTACATGAGATAATGTACATTACTTATAGTACAGTAGAATCCAAATATCCAAGCCTGGATTAACAAAAGTTCTGCATTATCTGAGGCAAACTCATAAGTGAATACACTAACTATCCACAAAAAACCTTTATATATCAGTGTTGAAAACGTTAGTAGATATTGTAACAAACACAACACTGATATATAAAAATTTTTTGTGGATAGTTATTACTCTACACAGTGTTACAGTTAGAAGATGTTTTGTGAATACACTATTTTTCTTATACAGTAGAGTGTCATTTATCTGAAAGTCAGTTATCTGAAACGTCAGTTATCCGAAAATTCCAGTTGGCAAATTTAAATTTTCACTAGTGCTGTGGAACTGCAATCTTTGGCTATATCTTGGGCTACTCCAATATTTTTTTTGTTGGTGTGTGTTTTAGCTGGCAGCACTGGCACTTTTGTGTGGTGTTTTTCTGAGGACTGTGTGTCATACTGAATCAAACGTTTTTGATACTAGATTAACTTCTAAAGTATAATTTTTTTTGTTTTTATATTTTACAATATATTTATTTTGTTTGTAAAAAGTAAAGAAATAATTTTTAACAATACAATAGCCACGATTATTATTTTAAAAATTTTATGTTAGGCTTAACATTGACGAAAATTTAATGCGAAGCGACACACAACAGAGAAAAATTTTAACATGGGATAGGTTAATATATTTTTTCGTACATAATTGGTTATCTGAAAAATAAGTTATCCGAACAACCTCAGTCCCCAATTGATTCGGATAAACAATGCTCTACTGTACTATAATTCATATAAGAAAGTTTAAAATGGTAACATGTATCACAAGATGATTTCTGTCTGTTATCTTTTATCATTTTAATTTCAGTTTGAAACAAACCAGTTCTTATTAAAATGTAATTACCTATACAGTACATCAATCGTGTGAGCAAACTGATTTGTAGTCACCATCACCTTTGTAGCCTGTGTATAAAAGCTTAACAATAACTTAAAATGGGTGTAATAAGTATAAAGTAAGATTTATTATTTATTGTATTTGAAGATTATATGGAGTATTTTTGTGTTTTTGATGTGTTTTATAATTGTATAATACAATTTTAAAAATGTAACTACCATAATACACATTTTATTCTTAAAACTATGGTAAGTACAGTATATTAGCTTGTAATAAATTAAGTAAAAATTATAGTTTCAAAAATTCAAAACTTATAGCATCACTTTTTATGAACTTATTGTATTTTATGATAAATTTGTAAAAAGTGATACTATAAACTTTGAATTTTTGAAACTAAAATTAAAACAAAACAATAAGCTAGAACAGCGTTTCTCAAAGTGGGCGATAACGCCCCCTTGTGGGCGCTGGAGGCTTTCAGGGGGGCAGTAGAAGTCTCAAAGAGAATTGGGGGGCGTTAAGGAAATAACGAGGGGCGACGGCAGACAAATTCTATATATAAAAATTCGACGGAATATATATAAAATGTTGACATTTTATATATTTTTTATTTTTTATTGAAGGTCACAACTTGAATATTTCTAACACATTGACTTTTATTTTAGCTCAGCGTTTCTCAAAGTAAGCAATAACGCCCCCTTCTGGCGCGATGAATAGATCTATGATAGAGGCAGGGTATTGAACGATGACCAAAGGCAAAATTGGGGCTGATAAGAGGAAACATTGCGTTTAATGGTTTCCAGATGATGAGAACAATGTACAGTAAGGGCACAAAGTGTGAGATTCATAGAAAAGTTTTCGTAAGAATATTTCCAATCCTTTTCTCACACATGAGAAAATGGGTTAGGGGGCGTTGGGTATAACTTTATGGAACAAAGGGGGCGGTGGATCGAAAAAGTTTGAGAATCACTGAGCTAGAATAACAACTATGTAAAAATTGTTGTTTTTATATAAGATCAAATTCAATAAAGTGTAAAAAGAATCGTAAAAGTTATACCATATAAATCTTTTGTAGTTGTAATTTTTAATCTGAAATGGCCTTAGTCATCTATTTTATCTGAGGTAGCATCTACCTCAGATAAAATGGATGACCAAAGCCATTACCTCAGATAATCACAGTTTTACTGTATTAATTATTGCTTTTGAAATATCAATAGCATCTAAGTACTGCCAGTAATCTAATAGCAAATTTAGCATTTCACTTGCAAATTTTTGTTCAAAATACAAGAAATCAACTAATTATAAAAATTATAAATTTCATATAAAAATATTTTATAATTATATAGTCATATAAAAATTTCATATTATTTTACTATTTCTTTAAGTCATATTTGGTTCATTATTTAAAATATTTGCAATATTGTTTAATGCACTTAAGAACAATCATTGTTATTTGTTTTGTTTTAATAATATATTGATTTACTGAACATATTCATAATTTTAGAAAATTTAAAAGTGTTGTGTTCAGATTTAACCCAAATACATATATTTTGATTTATAAATATAATATGGAATCCTATTTACAAATAAATACATGCAACACTTACTGACTTTCTGAACGAAAATCTATTGGCTCGCGTACAATTTTTTGCTGAAATGTTACATCATCAAAAGCAGCTGGTTTTACATGACTGTGTCCTAAATGCCTTTCTGGTGTTGATGGTGGAGTATATTCAACATCATGAGGATATATCATGCGACTAGGATGAGTGAAACAAGAATCAAGTGGTCTTCGGCGATAAAATCTCCTGCATGATGCATTAGAATGCTGAAAGAAATTAATTGAATATTGAATCAAAAAATATTCAGTAAACTTCTTTGTAACATATAATAAACTTTTTCTAAAAAAATGTAAGAAAAAAATTCAACAATGCAAACTAGGTACAGCATATGTAATTAAATTCTACAAAAACCTCCCAAAAATCCAACAGGAAATACAATTACCAATTCTGAAACTTCTTTTCAAACCATTTGTTTTAACAGCTGCATTCGAACTTTCAAGGTCTTTTAGCTTGATGATGACCATTTAACAAATTACTTTTATAGATTTTTGCATTTTCTGATGGATTTTTGGGGGGTTTTTCTGTAACCAAAACATCAAATACAAAATTATAAATTTAAATTTATAATTTTGTATTTGATGTTTTGGCTATTTAAATATATCAATATGTTATAATGAAAATATACAATCTTTATATATCTAAGTGTAATGTCATTATTTTTCATAATTAAATAGTCCACACAGAATGATCAACTGACGTGTAGATTTATATCAATTACAATGTAAATTTTTAGCAAATATATTTTTAAATTGTTTAATTTTTATTAGTAAAAGTATTTATTTCAAAAGTATAATGTATAGAGTACTAATCCAATTGATTTTCACTCAAAAATTTCAGTTAAATGTTTTATTAAAATTTTCAGTGAAAGTTGATTTTGATATTAAGTACTTAAAGTTATAGAGAAAAATAAGTAATTTTTATATTTGAGGAAGTTTAATTTGATGCAGGAAACCAAAATAAATGTCCATAGAAAATAGTGAAATACAGCTGATTTGATGATGAACTATTAATAACATGACTAATTTAAACAATTTCATTAAACCTAAAAATAACAAAAAGTTATTAATTAGAAATACTTGATATCTACTATACAATATAACTTTTTAGATAATTAAATCTGATATACTGAGTAAATAATAAATCTTCTTTGTTGACTAATGATTCCATTTTATATTATCAATAAGACACTACTGCTAATAACTTTCAAGAAGTTAAATTTATTATAAAATGTTTTTTGAGACTATTTATGTCTCATCTTCAATTCATATCTCAACAATGACATTGAAAATCAAATACTGATATAAAACATAGAATAACTATGTCTTAAACAAAACTAATTTAAAATAATTTCTAAGCATTCTAATCATGAGATAATTCAAAACCTAATAAACAATGTTATTAGTATAGAAAGAACAAAAATAATTCAAATTAACTTATGTTGAATTATTTTAGTTCTAACCAACAACATTAAATCACCTCAAAATTAAAATGCTTAGAAATTTTTTAAAATTACATTTTTGTTGTTTGAATATTAATTAATTTCATATTTTAATATTTAATTTTGATTGGTTAGTGTCATTAAGCTTATTATTAAGGTTTAATCTGATAATGGGAAGTAAATAGTCTTGAAAAATTTTATCAAACAACTAGCTTACCCGTCACGTATTGCTGCAATCTCAGAAGAAACGAAATTCAAGCAAACTTGTTATGATAAAATTAAATTTACATTTTATCATTTTTATTGAAACTTATTATATAAATACTAGCTTACCCGTCGCGTATTGCTGCAATCTCAGAAGAAAGGAAATTCAAACAAACTCATTATGATAAAATTCAATTTACATTTTATTATTTTTATTGAAACTTATTATTATTATTCATTTTCATTGGGAAAACATTTCAAAGTGTCGTTTCAATTCTATTTATTTATTGGAGTGCTTGTGGATACACGATATTTTTTGTTTTTCCGTCTGGTG